TTCCGGCCAGAATTATACCTGACACTTTGGCTAACCCACCAAAAAATTAGCTGATTTAAGTTAGCTCCCTTATGCCAGTTTCTTGGATTTATTGTGCCAAAGCTTTCATTACTAGATAGAATAACAAACTTATAGATTTAGTTCTAGATCTAACTAATAAGTATAGCTATCAACCAAATACAGGCCTATTTTTCAAATATTATTATCCATGAAATTTGAACTCTAGACTTACCACTTGGAGAAGTAACAACTAGACCACTAAACTAAGTTGCTACACCTTAATATCTTACATAATATTGTATAATAACTTATATAATATTTCTTAATTATATATATATATATATATTATTAAGATAATCTCTTTGGTATCTATATTACTTGCCCTATAACAATTTGTCTGACAGCTATTTTTTTAATAATATTCTTAAAAATATTACCAAAAAAATAGCTATCAGACAAATTGTTGTAAGGCAAGTGATATAGATCTACCTCTTTGATCTGGAAACTTTTTATTAGAAAATTAGACAGTAGTTTTATAATGTGATTACAATGATAGTATATCAAGCCACATGTGTACTTTTGGTGCCTAATTTAAGTAGTTTGCTCGAAGATTCTACACTATTTGCTATATTTGCACCCCAACTAGGGGGGTACCAATTTAAACTATCTGGTTACAACTACTTGTCATTGCTCTCTAACCCAGATATTCCTTACTATACATAAGTAGATTTTAGTATCTACTCTATGTGAATTTTGTATTCTACCTTAGGACTTACTAACTACAATTTGGATTTATTAATCCCTATCTTAAAATTAACTAACTATATATGGCTAATTTATCCTTAAAGTAAATCTAACAGAGTGATACATGTCCCACATATGTATTTACCTGCATATTTCTATAACTTCTTCTTAATAAGTATATATTAACTTGCTATTTTATATTCACATCTTATACTACTTTTTGGAGTGCTGCTGTTTTACAGATATTTCTCAAGCACCAACCTTTCTAACTAGATGTTTATTATATACTTTTTACCCTTATTTGGTTTACAACAACCTTAATATCTATATTTGAACTGTCTTCTTATCTGGGTTCTTTATTAGTTCCTCCCTTACTTCTAGCCGGCAACCCAAAAGGATCAGTCTGTTTAGGCTTTAGGTACCTCACAGTTGCCCTCTTCTTGGTCCATACTTTCAGAGCATATATTCTTTTTCTCCAGTGTGTCAGCCTGGCAGTTTAGCTAGTATGTTCCCACTTAAAAACCTAATTGCTTGGTTCTCCAATCTCAGACCCTGGTTTAAATTCAGCCTTCTTGTAGTACTACCAAACTTAGGACTTGCCAAATAGGTTTTTGGTTATTTCAGTTTCTTGGATTTATTGCACCAAAGCTCCTATAACTAGATAGTGTAACTGAGATTACAAATTTAATTCTGGATCTAGCTAATTATTGATAGCTATCAACTATAATACAGGCTATTTTTTAAATATCATTGTTCATGAGATTTGAACTCTAGACCTGCCACTTGGAGAGGGTGATGACTAGACCACTACACTAAGTCACTACACCTTTATTGTATATTTCACAATATTGTGAAAGTTATTGTGTAATATTATATTGTTCTTATAGTTCGTAAATTATTTCATAATATTATGCCCTATTAAATTTGCTGATACAATAAGTTAAAATCTAGGGTTTGTGAGTTTTGGGAATAAGGTTGGTTTGATATACAAAAGAGTTAAAGCCTTTGGGCTAGAAGTGAGGTAAGATCATACAAAATAGATTATGCTCAAGAATAGTATCTTCTAAGTAGTTAAACCAGTATAGTTTAGGAATATGTAGAATTCTAGAAAATAAGTGTAGCTAGTTTAACAAGGTCTTGTTAACTGCTAAACAAAGTTGTTTGAGGTATAAAATATTTTAGTATTTAAGTTGTTGTTTTAAAGTATTATATTTGAAGTAGTTGAAAATAATGTTTTTTAGTAGAGTATTACTATCATTTAAAGTTTTGAGCTAGGAAAAATTTTAAGTATACATGTATAGAGATGTGTAAATAATTAAAAAGTTGTAAAATTTTTAGAGTAGTAGTGTGTTTATTGGGCTATTGATAATAGAGTAAGAGTGTTGAAAAATATTAGTTGTAGACTACAGATTGTTTTGGAGTTGTTGAAGTCAAATAAGTGTTGTAGTTCCAAGAGTAAAAGAGTTGCTAATTCAATTAAGAAAGTTGTTAATATAATATTGTAGTTGTACAGTATATCCCAGATATTGTGAATATTGTAATGCTATTGGGAGTAGAGTGAGAGAGATGTGCTTTGTGTTTGGCTATAGTGAGATATTTACCCAAGATTTAATTACATTTATAAAAAGAGATTACAATATTGTGGAGCTAGTATTTAGTAGTTGGAATAATAACAGGATTAATAATATAAGTAATTTGTTTATCAGTTATATTTTTAGTGCCAGCAATGTTGGCTAACTGAATAGCCTTGTTTTGAATTAGTTTGATTAGTAAGAACTGTTGTTATAAGAGTAAACCAGTATTCCAACAATTTAAAAGGTTAATGATATGAAATAGATTGCAAGTTGAAGTTAAAAAATAATAAGTTAAAAGAGAGGGTTTCTTGGTAAAAAATATATATTTAGTTAATTTAAATATTGGCTATAGAATAAAAAGAGAAGACAGTTTTAGTAATTTCTTCAAGTTGTGTTTTGGATTGGGCAATTTATAAAATATCATCTATATAAGCAAAAACTGAAATAGAGATATTAAAGTGATTTGTAGAAGGGTGAATAAGGCTAGTTTGATAAAAGGTTGAGAGTGTGTATCCAGAAAAGTGTAAAGAGATATTGGAGATAAAAGAATCATAATAGATTCTCCAGAAGAGAGAGTGATAGTTTCACCTTGATTATTACCATTTTTAGCTGAATAATAATTTGTAAGACCAAAATTAGAAATAACACAGTTGGTATAATCAAATAAGAGATTGGTTAGAATATTAATAAGTTGTTGGATATTTGGATTCAGTATAGAGATTTTTGGAATAGTTTAAAGTTGCCTAAGTTATAGACTTTGCTTATATCTTGAGAGAGAAGCCAAAGTTGGTTTGAATTGCTTTTATTACATTGTTAAGAATATAGATAGATATGGAAGTAAAGTTATCAGAAAGTGTAACAAAATTAAATACAGTAGTAAGAGAATATTATATTGGGATAGAGTAAAATTGAGATAGTTAGTAAGGAGTTTAGTATATAACTTTTTGATATGTTCTATAAGGCTGATAGTCTGGTATTAGATAAGTTGCTATCAAAAATAGGTTTTTTAGAAATAAGAAAGATGTGTCTTTCTTTTCATTGTTTAGATATTGTTTGAGAAAAAAGACAATAGTTAAAAAAAGATGTTATGGTGGTAATAAAGTTAGAGCCAGCATGTTTTATTATTTTATAACTAATGCCTGATGGGCTACAAGCTTTATTGTTAGAAAATTAGTTAATAGTCAATATAATTTCAGCCTTAGTAAATTTAAAGAGGAATTGATATTCGGTTTAGGATTGTATTTTGTTTGCTATTGAGAGTTATAATGCCAAAATAAATATGTCAGGAAGCAGTCCAGTTTTCGAAGTGTTGTTGAATATGAGTTTTGATAATTGGTGATTACTAATAATATCATTATCTAGTTAAATATTGTTAAATTTAACTAGGTCTTTGTGGCAGTTAAGAATAATATTAATTATAATTGTAGGATAAGTTTGAAGTTTAGAACATCTTTTGTTAATAGCATCAGAAATTTGGTGTCTGATTTCTTTGATATTTTCCATATTACAAGTATAGAAAAGATTTTTTTACTCTGAGTTAGTATCAATAATTCAAGAAGTAAAATGTTGGTATGAACTTGGGAGTTAAGAAATATGTAACTTGGAGTATTAATTAAGTAAAAAGATAAGATTATTAAGATAATAAGGGATAGGTAACTGGTGTTTTAAAGCATATAGTTTGTTGAATAATGTTTCCAAATTTTTTAAGATTTGAGTGTAGAACAAAATGAAAAAAATATTTAAAACTCCACCACAATTTAACAATAAAGAAAGAGTGATTGTAATTTTATAAAAATTCTAACTCTAAATACGCTATTAAATAAATAGTATACAGTATTACTTCGAATATTTTCAAAAATTTAGTTGAAAAATTCTTGCCAATAATTATTTAATAATTTTGACTTTATAACTAGTGAATTATAATAAATAATAATCAGCCGTGATAAGTAATAATTAACTGTTAATATTAATGTGCGGTGAGTAAACAGAAATCTAGCAAATTGATCAAATATAATTTTGTAAAATCACATTTTGTTTTATACTTAAATAAACAATATCCGGTCTTAATTTTGCCAAAATTTACAAACCCTATGAAACTACCTTTTATTTAAATTTAGTTTGTTCTCTGATGGCAACTAGAGGCCGTCAGAAAATAAACTGGGTTAAAAAATAAATAAAAATATAACAAAAAAGAATTTCTTATAGATAGATAACTTGCTCGTAAATTAATATTTATTACTAATAGATTAAAAATCCAATATGTGAATAAATTATTATCGAACTTATTCTTTATTTATTACAAGTTGAAAAGTAATTAAAATAATTCCAATGAATATTCTATTATTAAAATTTTTTTCAGTTGATTCTATCATAATCTTATTATTTAGAATAAGAAATTTCTAATAATAATAATCATAGTGATCTATACAAAATAACTTCAAGTTTAAAAAAGTAAATGGTTAATTTTAGTTACTTCAATAATCAAACATGAAGCTTTTAAACTGTTTGGCATCGAATTGCATAATATAACAGCAACGGCTTTAAAGCAGAAATAGATATAGCATAAAACCAGACTAATAATAATTAATTATTATTTAGATTCTAAGATAAGTATCAAGTGCAGAGAGTTGTTAGTAACTATTATTTTTTGAGAGCTCACTATTTTGCTTTAATTATTAAAAATTATTCAAATTTCCAAGTAGCGAAAATTTCAAAAACCCAATTATAATATAGAGATGCAGACATAATAGAAAATCCTTTTTAACGACATATAATTGTTTATAATAATTGACCAATCAAGCTTACAAACCAATAAATACACATAAAAGCATTTGGGTATTGCTTTAATTTTTTAAATTCATCATTATCTTCATATGAATCTGTCAATTTCGTTATTTTTCTTGACATTGGGGCATTATCAAAATGATAAATTACCAATATTAATAAATCAATTCATTAATTCATTAATTTAACTAATACAAATAAAATTAGATCAACTCTTAATGAATAATAACAAATAGATATTATTAATTAGATTTAAAATATAAATTGATTTTATATGATATTATTGCATAAACAAATATATTTAATCAATTTCACAATTAATAATTATTTGCTACATCTACTATAGATTATCTATTTTCTTATTTACCCGATATGCAACATATAAAAAATATTTCACAGTACCTGATCATTCTGCTAATACATGTCATTATAATCCAACACCGTTTTTATTATAATAAAATGGAATGATCTGGTATTTTAAAATAATTTTTTTATATGTTGCACACCGAATGAAGGATTAATTTTGCAACATCAACAGTTCTTTTTGTTAATTTATTATAGTAATAGTAATGTTATAATAAAATTATAAGAGTGTGATCTTTGCAGAACATAATGTCACATGAAATCTCACCGATTCTTGGATTTTTTGATTTTTAAAGAATTTTAAAGATTTCGAATAAAATATTGATATTATTTATTGAATTTATCATCAATATAGAATTAAAATCTCAGATATTTTTATACTTTATCATTATTAAATCACTGGGTCATATCTTTTATAAATTAGCAGATTTCCAGATTACATTTGCGTAATATTCAGTATTCAAAATTGAATCTACTTTATGTCAAAAATAAACATGCGACCTTATTTACCTTATTTTATAAGCATTAATACTAAAGGTTCGAATTTATATTCATAGAGATGATATAAAAAAATATCCAAAAACATATCTTTATAGTTTGATTAATTTTAATGATATGGAGTATGGTATGTATGTATATATTATTTAATTAATTTTGAATTTTATTTATAGTGAATTTATTTATTTCATAGAGCAGGAAAATTATGTGAATGAAAGCGATTACAAAATTGACATTGATTATTAACCTTATATTTTTGTCATATACATTCATGCTATATTAGTAGAAGATACTTCCAAAAATATAATAAATAAATTTAGAAATTTTTGATTATTTTTTAATCAAATTACTTGATAGAAAGTAGGAGGAAATGACATCTTTATAGAAAAAGTAAATTGAATTGTAATAGAGGGTGTAAATATAAATATTATAGAAGTGATTATGATCTATACTTTTGTGGTAAACAAAAATTTATTGATGATAAATTTTGTTATTCATGTATTGAAAACGAAATGAGACTTTTAGAATATTATAATAATAGAAAAGATGTAAATAAATAAAATATTTATATATGGTCATTATAAAAAAGTTAACTATGAAATAAATGTAGTTTCTCTGAAGCTTTATTTTCTATTGATGTCTAATAATACTGAAAAATATACTTCTTATTTTACTAGTATCGCATGTTATTTTACTTAATATTGAATTAACTGAATAATGTATTAGAATTGCTACATGATGCTCCAAAAAAAGATTAAAAATTTGAATAGATTATAGCAATTGACTGAGATTATCTCTTTTGAATTATACAATATCGAATAAATTTTTATATAATATAAACTGCTTTATAAATTTTAAATTGTATTGTAATCATGTCATAATTACTGTACATATACATTGGAGTTTATATAACATTATTATAATGTCTGATGCGGATTCATACAATCATGTTAATTTTAATATTATCTTTTAAATTATACAAAATAACAAATAATTTGATAGATAATCCAGCAATTTTTTATATATATAAAATTGCATCTGGTACTAATAAAAAAAATCTACTGTCAAGACAGTCTGTAAACCTCTTAATTTATTTATATTGCATGATATATAAACTTTTTAGGCTTTACTTTTGAATTATATAATATCAAATTCTGGTTTAATAATATAAAATTATTGATATTTTTTATACAATAATTATTCAATACAAGGTATATTTGGGGTCTAATGCAAGTCTAGCAGGTTATATAATAATGATTATTAATCAATTTTTTTATTACTAGAATATAAATTTAGACAGAATTAAGATACAAAATTAGCAAAATTAGGATATAAATTTTGCAGAATTAGGGTTTAATTTGGGCAAATTTTGAATATAAATTTGGGCAAAATTAGAATATAAATTAAGCAGAATTAGAGTTTTGGCAGAATTAAATTAGAATATAATTTTGGCAAAATTGGGGCAAAATTAGAATTTAAATTTTGGGCAAAATTATAGTTTAATTTAGGCAGAATAGAATGTAAATTTTGGGCGGAATTGGAATAAATTTTGGGCAGAATTAGAATTAGAATTTGGGCAGAATTAGATCATAAATTTGGACAGAAATCGAATATAAATTTTGGGTATAATTTAGGCAGAGTTGGATTATAAATTTGGTTGGAAATTAAGTATAAATTTGGGCACAATCAGAATATAAATTTGGGCAGAATTAAAATTTAATTTGGGCAGATTTGAATATAAATTCGGGCAGAATTAAAATACAAATTGGCAGAATTAGAGTTTGGCAGAATTAAACAAGAGTATAAATTTAGGCATAATTGGAATGTAAATTTTGGACAGAATTAGAATGTAAAATTTGGGCAGAATTTGATCATTAATTTGGGCAGAAATCGAATATAAATTTTGGGTTTAACTTAGGCAAAGTTGAATTATAAATTTGGGCACAGTTAGAATATAAATTATGGCAGAATTAGGGTTTAATTTGGGCAGAATTTGAATATAAATTTGGGCAAAATTAAAATATAAATTGGGCATAATTAGAGTTTTGGCAGAATTAAACAAGAGTAAAATTTTGGCAGAATGGGGCAAAATTAGAATATAAATTTTTGGCAGAATTAGAATGCAGATTTGGGTAGAATTAGATCATAAATTTGGGTAAAAATCGAATATAAATTTTGGGTTTAACATTAACTTAGGTGGTGTTGGATTATAAATTGGGCAGAAATTGAATATAAATTTGGGCAAAATTAGAATATAAATTTTGGCTAAATTAGGGTATAATTTGGGTAGAATTAGAGTATAATTTGGGCAGAATTAGAATATAAATTTAGACAAAATTAAAGTACAAATTTGCCAAAATTAGAATATAAATTTGGCAGTATTTGAATATAAAATTGTGCAAAATTTGAATATAAATTTGGCAAAATTTTAGACTCTTTCTGAGAATATTTGACTAAAGTTGATAAATTAAATAACAATACAAACTTATTGGTTGAATGCATAAGACGAAATCCAAATTGGAAATTCTTCAAAAGTTTTATGGTTAAACTATAAAAATATGGTACTTTCCATCTTCCTCTAGATATTTTAAAATAACTATCGGATTGATACGTGTAATATTTAGCAAGATTCCAATTAGAAATAACTACACATTACGTGTAATTTAGCTCCATTTCTTTGTTTAATGTGTACTTAATTTAAAAAGCGGTCGATTTAATATTTTACTAAATTCTTGAAACAAGAACAATTTGAACAAGAAGTTTTTGCACTTCCAAGTGGTTAATTTCAAGCAACAAGTCTAAACAAAATTTTTTCGCGTTCTGGGTGGTAAATTTTTGCATTAGATTAATTTAAAAATTTATACAAGGTTATAAGGTTAATTAAGCATATATGTAAAAATTAATTTCACAATTAAATTGCTAAAACAAAGAAATGGAGCCATATTATATGGATATTTTGATGCAATATAACTCACTTAACCACATATTGTGGTTACTGGAATAGCAAGTGAGCTTTGTAGCAATATTTTTTCAGTAACTCATAATAAAATTATATCAATTTTAATGCAAAATAACTCAAACCTATCCACATACTTATTAGAAATCATGATAATTCTAAAAGAAACTCGATTACATTTGGTAGCCACCTTACCATGCTAGTGATAGATAGATAGATAGAATGTTAAATAAATAACATTAATATAGAATGCATTGTAATGAGAAGCAATGTAGAATAGTTAAATAAAAGTAAAATGAATTAAACAAAAGTAAGCAATAATTTAGCTACTTAACTGATATAGATGAATAAAATAAAATTTTATATATAATATGAGGTGTATAAAAATCTCTACTAATAACACTACAAATAATAAATGTGTAAAGGCTACAAAATAAACCCAAAGCAATTTCTTATAATCATTAATACAAATCTTTACCTATTTTGCCATAAATTATAATATGATATTGATAAAGAATTTTACTACAATATGATATAGCGTACTCTATTCCCTTTAAACAACTCAAGCGTCTAGTTAATGAGTTAAGATAATATTTGTATAACTTTACAAGTTTGTAGAATTAAAATAAATATTGTTAACCTTATTAGTTATCAAATTACTTGTAGTGATGGCTACTCTAAATTTTTTCACTTAAATTCTTTAATAAATTAATTGCCATTGAATGATTTTCATTGGCAGCGAATCTTAAATACTCTAATCCAAGATCTTTATTTTTCTGAACTTTAAGCTTTCCATGCACATAAATATCTCCCAAATAATACAAAGCATCGACATGTTTATTGTTAGCTGCTAATTTTAAATAATGCAGAATTTTACTACGATTTTTTTCTTTTGTTGCTTCATTATCATCTTTTTTAAGATTAGAAAGCAATAAAACCGAATATCGGACCTGTGCATCAGCAATATCATTATCAGCTGCTTCCTTATAAAGTTCTTTAGCCCGCTCCTTGTCGATTTCAACACCAAGCCCATAATATAAATAATATCCTTGCCAAAATTTTGCTTCGGAATTACCAAGATCAGCATTTTCTTCAAAGCATTTCCATGTGTTTTCATAATCTTTTATTCTATGAAGTTTAATTCCTTTTTCAAGAGGCATTCCAAAGTCGATTGATGGATCCTTATTTTCAGTTATTTCAGTTTTAATAAATTTTGAATCCATTGATTCAATATGAGATTCACAAGAAATAAGTTGATAATTTTCGGCCAATTCTTTGAGTATTATATGCAAATTTGTAAGAGTTA